AGGAAACATGTACCGATGTAGCCAACAACTTGTCACAGTGAGGAAACATGTACCGATGTAGCCAACAACTTGTCACAGTGAGGAAACATGTACCGATGTAGCCAACAACTTGTCACAGTGAGGAAACTTGTCATACGTGGCAGTGAGAAAACATGCACAATGTAGCCTACAATTTCTTACAGCACGGACTCACTGCTTGCCCAATCCTCTCGCTGCCTGCACACATACACAGAGCTTTTTGTACCAGATTTATCATATGGCACTCGTAACACAGCTAAGTCAAATAAGTGCCCAAGATGAGAGGTGTTTCTAGAAGAGAGTAACGATCAAAGAAAAGGAGGAGGAGGAGGAAAGATAAGGACGATGATGTTTGATAAAAAAAGGGGGAGCAAACCACACCAGAGCACCCGCCAACCACACCCGCACAGTGAACAAATATATCTTCAGACCTAGAATGTGTGCACAAAAATAGATCGAGAAATCTGCTTTTTACCAACCCTGACGTCTAAGAAGACACACACACACACACACAGTGGATGAAATCTTGACTCAAATAGCACCAATTCTCATAAGTATCTCTACCACCTACAAGAATGATAATAATTATAATAATAATAATAATAATACCGGTAATACAGTCGTCTCCACCTGACCGCATGTCATACAAAAACTCGCTCTGCTCAAAAGCAGGTTTTCATCACATGAAATGACAGCGTTTTTCGTAAACGTGCACTCAGGGTAAACACACCCTCTGTTTACCACTTTGCCCCCTTATCCCGCCAAATGGCGATGGTTACCACCCAGTTTCTTTGCCCCCACATCTGGCCAATCGGCGATGGTTACCACCCAGTTTCTTTGGATTTCCCCCAAAATGAGGTGGCAAAGTGTTCAGCACACCCTCATCAGTCCTCCCGGTACCGTGCGTTAAGGTGGAGACTACAGAGACAACTGTCATTTAAAAAAATAATAATTGTGACATCACGGGGAAATCAGGCGCTTGTCAAAATAATGACATAGGAAGAAACCAGTATTTTTTCCGGCTTGTTCGGCAACTTTTCTTTTCGGCTTAACGTCACGTTTATACGTCGATCGATCGATCGAAAAACTGCCGCGCATCAGCCACCCACTGCACCATTTCTTTTTCTTTTTTAAATGTAAATGTGTTTACACATCTGTCCACACAACTAAAACCATTAAGGAGGCGGGCTTCCCACCCTTAGTTTTAGTAAGAGTTTTCCTACATTTGCGACACAATAAGGTCATATAAGTGCAGAAGACTAGAGGTGTTACAACAGAGTAGCAAACACAAAAAAGGAGAGATCAGGATGACAGAAGTTTGATAGGAAAGAGGCAAACCACACAAGAGCACCTGGCAACCACCCACTTTCTGACCCTACCTGTCAGGGCCACCCCGAACTGAGAGGGACACAATAACCCGCCAGAGAGATAGAGAAACTCCATTGGAAAATTCTCCCCACTCAGGTATCGAACCCAGGTCTCCTGCATGCGACGATGAGGCGCCTAACCGCTACACCACAGAGGCCGGCCTGCACCTTTTCTTTTCCGTAGGTCGCCACAACAAAGCTAAAAAAACAGACTGACAAAAGCAACAACTGCGTACACACACTTGGCCAGCCGACCAACCAAACATCAGTCCACAATTATCATTACAGTTTAGGAAAAAAAATACAACAATATAATAACAACAACGAAAAAAACCACAACCCCAAAACAAAGCAAGTAACAATAGGTGACACAGCGAAGAGGCGCTTGCCGGGCTGATCAGACTAAATAATTAAGCCCAACCCCCCCCCCCCCCCCCCAGCCTCCGTGAGATGGGCCGGCGGGCGAGTGCGAGTGGGGACTGCTGCCGCTACCCTCACAACACTGGGCTATTTTTAGCCCTCACTTCCCCCTGGCCCAAGCAGCAATGGAGTCCTCGACTCATCGGGCCCAGCCAGTACCAAATGTTTTAGAAAGTTTTACGGCACTCCCAACTATATACGGTCATACTACCCACTGTGTCTATGCCATTTTTAAAAAAATTTGGCTGACATTAACACACAAAAAAAATTTTGGCAGACGTTTAAAAAATATGTCGATTTCTCTTCTCCGAAGTTTTAGGAGATGCCACGTAAAATATCTCCCCGAGACAATTGGGAGGATTACGGTAAAGAATACCTGACTGGGTTTAAGGTGGCTGGTATCCTGTGAAGGGCATGTGTGCGACTGGGCGGAGGGGACTGTTGGGGCAAATGTAGATGAGTGGCCGGGGCTGTGACGGGTATCCCTCCAAACGTCGCAAATAAATGGACCGTGGTGTCAGGGGACATTATAGGACTGTGCCATACTATGTTCAGGGTTCCTGCCATAAACTCCCCACCAAATTCAAGGAGATTTCAGGGAGGTTGCAAGGAAGAAGTTTAAAAATTCAAGGAGATTTGGTCAAGAAATTCGTGCCGAAAGCCTATTTTGAACAGGCCTACAGATGGCCAATCGCAGTTATGATTTTCTGACAAAAATTTTGTTCACATCCGATCCGGCGAAATTCAAAAAGTTTTCAAGGACTCCTTAAATGTTGGACCACGCTAGAGAAGAGGCAAACCAAGCAGGTATAGGCAGTAGACCGATACAATTTCACAACTAGAAATGTACATAGAAAATTGAGCTCCTTTGTGAAGGAGTTAAAATAATTAGTGATTTTTTAAAAACGGGATAAACGAACCAGAATAGCGGCTCTCATTACACCCGATACAATTTGCCGCAACACGGAAGAAAAAAACGTAAAAGCTGATTAACCATTTAGCACCTAGAGCAGCATTGATCCGACTCGACCGATTCACACCTGGAGCGGTGCTGCATGGCGTTTCAATTGCCTAACACACCACACTGCCGGGATGAGTAATTCTACCAAGTCTTGGAAGAATGTCTGATTAGAATTGACCAAAAACGAGCAAAAGTTATTCTTCTTTCTTTGAGTTTTTGAATGTTCAAAATTTAACCCAGACATAGTGCGTGTGTGAAGTTTGAAAGCAGGAAGTTTGGACAAAATCTAGGGAAACTTTGAAAATACGTAAAAATTTATCCTGTGTAGCAATGTCAACTAAACAAAGACACGTTGAAACTGGTTTTAGTGGCCGTAACTTCCTATTTGTAAGTCACTGGAGGACTTGTTACTTTTTGAGGAAATAGATGAGCGACAGATGAAAGCCCGACAGTCACAACTATGATGGGAGAAATAGATGAGTGACAGATGAAAGCCCGACAGTCACAACTATGATGGGAGAAAGAAATAACTTGTCCAAACTGTACCACAAGGGAAACTGGCTCGAGGGAAGCTTGCGTTTTTCCGCATCATTTCGTAAATAATTTTTTAAAAGAATTTCTTAAAAACGCGTGATATTTTTTTTAGAGGTTTATTTCCCTTGTCCAGGGTTTCAGGGCGAGCATCAGGGAAGGTCTCCAGGAGCTAAATGGTTAAACCAGCTGCTGACACTTGGAGGGTTAAACAAACAATATGATCTTACGTCAAAGCAGTTTCAACCAACTAAGCGCTTGTGAAAAAAACAGTCTTCATTCAGAAATGTACAAACAAACCAACCAACCAAACCCACTCACTCCAAATATACAACCTCCCACCGACTGACGGACCGAGCCAGCAACGCACCAAGGTCGTCACAAAAAGCTGCCCAACTGTTCAACTGTTCTGCGTCAAGAAGCAACATTTCTTCAGGGGAGCCAAAAAAAATTGTTCCATTCTTCGGAAATTTGTACCTCTTCTTGCTTTTTCTTTTTTTTTTCTTCCAACATTTTGAACTTGAATTTCGACAAAATATTTCTCGAGTACACTTAACTGATACCATGGATATAGGAACTGTCATTAATCAATTAGAATTAAAAATGATTTTTTTTCAATTTCCAAATGTTGGGCTTAGTACGCGTGAACAGCCGGCAGACAACAACAAAAAAAAAATTTGTCAGTGGTTGGGACACGTTCGTTCGGAACACGTTCACACAGACACTTTCAGACCAGGGGGCATGGACGCTGGCGCAGGACGCAAGTTGCCAGGCTGGCCGGCCGCATGCTACGTGTCGCTCCGCCACAGCTTGATGGTTTTGTCGTTCTCCAACGCCGCAGACGCGATGATGTTCTCCGTCGGGTGGCAGGCGCAGCTCAGCACAACGTCTGGGGAGGGACAGCGTGGAGTGGGAGTCAGTCACGGAGGGAGTAAGGTAGTTAGTTAGTTGGTAAAGTCGTCAGTAAGTTGGTAAGGTCGTCACTAAGTCAGTATGGTAGAACAGTGCAGCCTCTCTATAACGACATCGTCGGGACCAGAAACAATTGTCGTTATAGAGGGCTGTCGTTATAGAGAGTTGTCGTTATAGAGAGGTGTCGTTATAGAGAGTTGTCATTATAGAGAGCTGTCGTTATAGAGAGTTGTCGTTATAGAGAGCTGTCGTTATAGAGAGCTGTCGTTGTAGAGAGCTGTCGTTGTAGAGAGTTGTCGTTGTAGAGGGCTGTCGTTGTAGAGGGCTGTCGTTATAGAGAGTTGTCGTTATAGACAGTTGTCGTTATAGTATAGAGAGTTGTCGTTATAGAGAGTTGTCGTTGTAGAGAGTTGTCGTTGTAGAGAGTTGTCGTTGTAAAGAGTTGTTGTTATAGAGAGTTGTCGTTATAAAGAAGCAACCAAAAATATTACTAATGATACAGGCAACGAAAAAATCAGGACCTGGGCACCATGTCGTTATACAGAGGATGTCATTATATCGAAAGTCGTTATATAGAGGCTGCACTGTAAGTAAGTTAATAAGTAAGAGTGGTAGAAGGAGGTGAGGAATCAATATATATATACTGCTGGCAGTTCCAGTGAACCAAGCCCACAAAGTCAACTTTCACAGGGGAGACAAATGTTTTAATTCTTTTACCAACTGTATCTGTATTATGTTATTTACTTTTCCAGCATTTAGGATTCTCTAGAGCACGAGCACAGATCACACAGATGAAGAAACAATTCTTTTTTAAATTCAAAATTTTGGGCGTAGTACGTTTGAAAAATAGAAACATCTCAAGGACTATTAGCATGGAAGTTTTGAAACGTTATATGGCTACATGTGGTCAACCCTTCTATATATGGCTACATGTGGTCAACCCTTCTATATATGGCTACATGTGGTCAACCCTTCTATATATGGCTACATGTGGTCAACCTTTCTATATATGGCTATATGTGGTCAACCCTTCTATATATGGCTATATGTGGTCAACCCTTCTATATATGGCTGTGAAAGTGGACAATCAAGAAAGACAGGGAAAATAAAACAGAAGTAACAGAAATGTGGTCTCTCAGGAGACTGCTGAATATATCTTGGAAGAAGATGAAGAAGCCCACACGCGCTGCCCGTTGATAAAACGAGGAAAAGACAAACATGTCACCACAGAGTGGAATCAAGCACTTGTCAATCTTGGGGCATGTGGAGATATTGATGTCATCTTACAGCTCGTTAATTTGTCTTGCTTAAAATATATCCATCTATCCTGAATAGAAGTCGAGATACATGCGATTGAACTGGGTGGGGGGATACTGACAAGACCTTTCGCCGTCTATAGCCAGGATGCAACCTTGGGCCCGCAGCTCGAACCCCCGAACCCAAAAACTCATTGTTACGAGTCCGGTAGCCTAACCACTAGACTAGCGACGGGGAGTACTTCGTGGGTCAGAGTATGTCATGTGACGCCCAACAACAACAACAACAAAGGAACAACCAGTTTTAGTTTAAGCAAGTTCAACAGCACTTGCAACATAATGTCATAGAAGTGCCGCATAATAGATTCACATTTTTTTTTTTTTTT